GGCTTAGAAGTAGCCATTCCCTTGGGAGCTGCCCCACTTGGCATCCAAGAAGCCCAACCCCCCGGGGGCTGTTCAGCCTGACTTCCTAGCGACCCAACCCTAGGAGCTTCCCCCTGGCATTGAAGAAGTCCAACCCGTGGGGGCTACCGCTACCCCCCATGGCATCGAAGAAGCCCAACCCTCAGGGGCTGCCCCACTTGGCTTCCGCGTTGCTCAACCCTAGGGGTGCCCCCCTTGGCATCAAAAAAGCCCAACCCTCGGGGGCTGCCCCAATTGATCTGTTGATCACTGACTGTTGATGATCATTCCGTTGAAAATTGGTACTTGGGTACTGGGAGCTTCGCGCGTAAAAGAAGTCTTGGGCATCGAAGGGGTCAAACTAAAATTGAAACGAAGCCTACTTTCACTTGATGTTTGCCATTGATTTCGTGTAGCTCAATCATCAGAGCTGCTCCATAGGAAAGGGATGATCTATCAATTTCTGAGGTAACGCTTAGACCACGCCAGAGATAAGCAATGGTGCCATCGTGGGCAGAGTATAAATGTAGCCGACGCTCAAATCTTTCCCGTGCATTTGCTTTAAGTTTCATGTTCATCAAGATCTCCTTTATGAGAACACCTGCGAAAACAACGGAAAGAAAAAGCTAAATAAGAGCAGTGACGAAAAACTTAATGATCGAACAGGACTCAACAGATCCTGAAATACTAATTGTAAGTTACCTGCCAAAAACTTGATAAAATTAAAATATAAAATATAATGAATCAGCTCTGCGTCACGCAGTATTTCGGTATCGCCACGATGAAAGACTGAATGAAGAGTTGGTGCCATGGTTCAAATATTTGTTTATTTCAGGTGGCAGCGATACAGCACGGATTAGTATTTAGGCAATACGTTGACATTTCCTGACCTTTCCTAACTCTGACATTCTCTGAATAAAACGGCATGTGCCTTTTGTAACAGAAAATGCTGAAACGCTCCCAGAGCCAAGGTCCTGTCCTCCTGTGTCCTTAAGAATTGTCACGACGAAAGAATGAATGAGGAGTTCGTGCCATAGTTCCAATATATATTCATTTTAGAGGGCCGCGCGACACATCACGGATTAGTCTTTAGGCAAAACGTTGACATTTCCTGACTTTTTTCTTAACTCAGACATTTTTTGAAGGAAATGAAAGGTTTTGTTTTTGTGTGTAAGTGTCGCACTGGGTGCTTTTCGTGGAAAATCGTTGAAGAGGTCTCTAACTAAAGCGTGCACTTTATCTCAAGGATAATGGTCCAATTTAAGAACCAGTATCCTTCGTCCGAGAATTTCATCACTGAACGACTAAGATCACAAATCTAGAGGTGCACAGACCCTGCACTTGCGTTCCGCACTGCATCCGCGGTAGGGAAACCAAGATCATAGAGTCGTCGAATTTCTAAGGTTTCAGTATTAATGTCGGAGATTTGCACTCTTAAAACAAATAATCGACTATCGATATTAATAGTCTAAGAGGTAATGTTGCAACAATCTGGTTTGGCAAATTATGGAAAATTGTTATTGGCGAGACCAATTGGACGTATTTCTGCAAAACGGAACTACGTGCATTAAGACATGATCCCTGAGCCCCATAAGAAAATGTGCATAACAGGGCTCACGTCATAATGCACAAAGTTCCGTTTGATAGAGATACATCCAATTGCTCGATAGAGTTCTCGATAAATTAAAAACTGACCGCGTGTACTTAATTGCCGAATTTCTCGTTTCTATATACTGCTCGCGCGATGCAGGATATTTTTTAAGATTTTGAATAATTGAGGAGCTTGGAAGAAAAGGCACATAAATGCAGTTTTTGAAGAAAATGAGATATCAATGATTTCAAGTAAAACTAGTCTTTATGCATATTCTGTGAAAAAAATTCGCTCCCAAATTCTAACTTTGAAGCATCAAAAAGTCAGTTTGAACTTCCTTTCCGCCATGAGGATCCATGTAATATCGAAACTTCAAACACTTTTTTTTCGGAATAGTAAAAACGGCACTTATGCGCCTTGCTCTCCAAGCCTCTCCATTGACATCTATGAAATAGTGAAAATCTTACAAGAGTAGTTTTGAGAGGAGGAACCAATATTGACACTGCCACGGCCACTTTCCTTCCTTGGAACGAATAGCGTTCTAACTAAAAGAAGAGGTGTACTATTAGTTCTTTTATGCACTGTTACACTATACTACAAATATTTAGATGAAATGAAATATTATTATGTCATGTATACAAGTAGCATTTTGATATATGGATCAATAATATTTCGATACCTGATTTAAGTTTGATCATAGTGGGTGTTGCGAAATGTTTCAAGACTCCGATATCGCTGAGTGAGCGGAGTCTACCCCGATTAATAGTATGAGCCCACTCAGGTAGTGGAAGACCTTGCTCCTCCTATGAAAATGAAGAATGACTTTAGTATCATTGCAGTCTCTACTCATGGTGTAAAATCCTCTGAAACTCTTTGTCAGTAAAATTATAAAGTTAAAATATTAAGTTCAACTTACAGTCCCCATTGCTTCCTCTCTGTTGCTATTGTACAATTTTGTAAAGAAAAACACATTGAAATAAGAAAGTAAAAAATAAAAGAAATTGAAAAAAAAATCATAGATTGTTGAGGCATTTTTTAATTTGTTTAAAATAGAGAGAATGCTCGTTTAATTTTCAACGAAATGTTTGGAACGCCTATCGGAAAATTATTTTACGTACCACGACCTTCAAATTGTCATCTACATAGTAGACGTTTAAGATTTTACTCATGTCAAGGCCAGTTCCTTTTGAAATGTTCATAAGAAGTTCTTGATCTTTTACCAGTTTCAGTTGAATGGTGGCTAGCCATTTGGCTTCTTCCTTTGACAAGAGTGGACAACGTTTTGATACGCAAATGATCTGAGAAGGAAAATGAAAAACTCATGATAAAAACATAAAATATGTATGGTCTCCTGCATATCACAGGGAATTCAAGCCAAGCTTTTAACCTGAATCTTTTGTTGTGATAGCAGGTGCTAGGATAAGTTCTCCCCATGTATTCAGATCAGACTTAGGCATTCTGACTCTCCTAATTCGCATTTTTCACCAAAGAATTCGTTTTTTTCAAAACTGCAAAGAAATAAATAAATATATAAATGAGATGTTAGGCAGCATCTAGATCCGGTGTTCTGAATTACAATCTCCCTGAAATCACACATGTAATGCTGTAATTTAAGGAAATTTTAAGGAATTGGTTCCGTATCACGGAGAAAATTCGCTGAAATTTGCAACCAAAAAAAATCCGCACAACCGTTTTCACTTGTATGTATGTATGAGCCGCTTTTACGGCGCGCTAGGGCGCTCTGCGACGCCTATTCTCCACAGGAATCTGTCATGGTAGAGATCCTCCGGAAGCTGGCATCTCTCCATCTCTTCATGGATGCCCTCTACCCACCGTTTGGCTGGACGCCCTCTCCGTCCGTTTTCACTTAAATAATTAAATTGCCCAATTAAATTTGGCAATATCTGGCGTGGCTTGGTTCCTTCCTGCTGTACGCGGTTCACTTGTGGTCACGATGGAGCTCTTGTTCATTCAATATTTCACGACAAAAATAACTTCAGGGATTTTGATCAGTGAGTAGAAAAATACAGAGAGTATAGAGATGCGATCTGCCGGAAGAGCTGTGGCAGGATCGCTATCAGTGCCGGTTGGGTGTCACAGAGCACGCAGAAGTGCTATAAAAGTGACTCGTTAGTATTGATAGTAGAACAATTCATGATAAAATGGGTACATATTCAAGGCTAAAATAATATATATTAAACAATATTGGACATTTTTGGAAACGGTACCGAACCCTCCATCAAGACACTATAAATAATGTAATAAAACCAACCAAAGTCAAAAATCGGATCCCACGTTTACAATAAAAGACGATCAGATGAGTTATACCTTATGTACCTTGGCTTATACGGATTGCATTTTGCAAAAAGGAACCAAAAACATTCCAGTATGTCGCTAAGATTGTGCAACTTTCTTCACCCTGCAAATATAAACCGATCATCGATACAAATTTTATATTTACTTTCGATAGACTATGAATTCAAGACGAAAATCATCCATGTAAATTTGATTTGTTTCATTATTTTAGTAATTTTATTGCAAAGCATGTATGTTGCACAATCCCAGTAACATTGGAATGCTCTTAGTTCCTTTTTGCAAAATGCAGTCCATATGGTTTGGTTCTTCTCCGAAACGCGGTCCACGTGTCTATTACACTGAGATAAATGGACGAATAAACTCACGATAACTTACATCGTCGTGTGTCAAAGGAACAGTATGGATGGGGATTGGCTGCCACTTTAAATCTGGATCCCAAAGTTGAGTCCTGAGTGGAGGATAGAGCCCCGCCAAAACAAGGCTTGCGCTCATCAGACATCGATCATGGAAACTGGAGAAGACAAAAATCTCTGCTGGCAAATACTTGGCTGACAGAAATCCGTCGTAGCGTTGCCGTAAAAAGGTACCCAACCTGTGTAATCCAATTTTCCCACTCTGAAAAACAAATCATAAAGCAGTGATCAACAAGACCAATTCTGCCGTTCTAAGGAAAAACGCCGTTCAGGTTTTGCCGTAACTCCTTCAATAAAAAACGAATTTACTGAGAAAATTCTGAGTATTTTTCTTCCAATTTTTCAGAGATTTTTGCTCACAACTAAATCTGAAATATCTGGATATATTTCAAAGAAAAATATGCATAACTCTCTTCAAAAATACATGTTTTCTCCGGGAGAGGCAACTGTCGAATGTTCATATGGCGTTCTTCATTAGCACAGCAGAATTGTACCCGTATTCCACAAGTTTTTCTAAATTACACATAATATGAATAAAAAAGGCACTTATATCTATTAGAGACTTCGAAAAGAGAATATGGTCCTTAGTCCTTAGGTATCCTTGATGTTATTTTTTCTTAAATGAATACTCTAGAATATTTTTTTGTTCTGTTTTTATTTGAAAAATCGCAAAATTGGAAAAATAATTTGAGGACTTTCTGTTTGAGGGAAGGTGTAAAATGCATCATGGAATAATTTCCTCAGCAATATTCTCACTCACCAGAAACCCTCCCCCCCCCCTCCAAAAAATGAACACTCGGTAGCTACAGCGAGCCGATACGTCCGGTCGAAAATTAAGAAAATTGCGTAGAGTTTAGTAAAAAATGCCAGGTTTTCTGCAGGTTTATCTTATCTTGGCAGTCGTAACGATAATTCCAGCTCTAGCTTTCCTGCTTTCTGGGGTGCAAATATTGCTGAAAATGTTTTACCGTGCAGTGAAGATTGCTAATTAAAGCGCACAGATCATACCTTCTCCGCTGTTCTCCTTAAATTTTACTTTCATTTTTTTATTGTTTTCAGGCCAGCACATCATTCTCCCTTCTCTAACTTTCCCAAATGAATTTACTGTAGCGGTAAAAAATTGAACTTGCTCATATTTTATCGCGAAATAAAGGAGCCGTTGTTTAGGTACTCACCAGTGCAAGCCAATTATGTACGTGAGAGGGTTATAAGACATTTCGTCAATGATTTTTTGTACGCGCACCTGTTTTTTCCAGTAATTTACGTCCGCGCGTTTTTTCGGCCACGTGCCAGCAGTTGAGATCCAAAGTTAATTGGCCCACATGTAAATACAAACGACCATTGCTCACGACGTTTTTGGATGAAAATGTATAATGTCTTGAAAGAATGAGGGTTTGCTTGTTTTTTTTTTTTTTTTTTTTGGTCTGTTTGGTCTAACGGAGAATAATATGTAGTTGAGAGTTTTGGTAAAAATGGGAGAGCGTCAATTCCATGAGACAAAATTCACTAAAACTCTCTACACCTCTTTGTGTAACAGGACTTAATTATCATTCAAGAAATTCCCACCTTGTTATACCTGAACCGGATAAACCTCTATATTTGCCTCAGCTAAAGGCTCTTAGATTTTTCTTGTGTACGATAAAGTATTTTGATTTATTTTGCGAGGAAAGACGTGTACTTGTAAGGGTGCCTGTCATTCTTAATACGTTCAATTTCGTATGATACTGTGCAACACCTCTGTTGTGAAATAGTTGCTTCAGGCGCCGCGCCGCCGCACGGCGGGCGGGCGGCCAGCACGAAACGCGCATTGGCGCCTACAAACCTAAGTGGATACTTCAAGCATTGTGCAATGCGTGAAGTATCCATTTAGGTTTGTAGGCGCCAGTGAGCCTCTCGCGCAGGCAGCACGCCGCGCGCCGCTCCGCTTTGTTAGGCTTTAATACCTATTTATACTCACATAGTCAGCGTTTTTTAACTTATGATTTTGAAATGTTTGCACACTCTGCATTGCTTATTCTTATTTAAATTGATGGGAAAAAAATATGTATCAATTTATCAAAGGAGAATAATAATATAATGTGTGCTTTTTAAATATTGGTGGTTCCGTGTCAAATTTAATGATTTCCAAAGCACTTCAATTTTTTTTTTTACATTTTGTGTTTTTATTGTGCTGCAGCGAGGTGTACGCGAAACCAAATGCTCAAAATTTGACGTATTTGACTCTAAAAGATCGATGTACAAATGGGTTAAAACTAAAGATTGCGTGTTTCTTGGTTTTTTCCCCTCTTTTATTCATTTTTTCAGTTTCTGTTGGCACAACTGCGGCTCATTGAGATTAATGTCGCTTGGAAAAGGTTTTACAAATATTTGTCACGTTTTAAAAATATAAATGTTTTCAAAATGAAGTAATAATTTCGTAAAGAAAAAATTAAAAAAATAAAAAAAAGTACCTACACATATATAAGGTATATTGTACACCGAATATTTCAAGGATTGAAATAAAACCAAATATTCACCAATGACAATTCAAAAAGATGATTCAAAAGGAAAGTAATAATATTCATTTAGAAAATGAGCAACCATAACAACACCTCTTTTTCTCTCAATTTCTCATTTCCATATTGTCAATATAATTTTACATACCGACTAAAATATAACGCTTGGACCAAGTCACTGTTGCTTATTTTACGTGTGGGCGTAAACTACTGGACAAAAAAGGTGCGCGGACAAAAAATCGTTGACAAAATGTCCTGAAACCCGTGAGAGCTATGACGAAGAGTGAAATCCTCGTAGAAAAATAAATTAAAGGGGTATTAAATTAATAAATTAATAATTTGAATGATGGTTTTGATACTGAAAAAAATACAATTTTTAATTAAGATTCGAGGAAAGGTAGACTTAAGGAGTTTGGAGGACGAGGCGCACAAGTGCAGTTTTTGCTACTTCGGGAAATACGTGTTTGAAGTTTCGAAATCATGTGGATCCATCTGGTGGGAAGAAAGTCCGAACTGACTTTTTGATGCTTAAAAATTGGAATTTGGGAGCCAATTTTTCACAAAATATGCGTTAAGATTAGTTTTACTTGAAGTATATTAATATCTCAATCTTTTCAAAAACTGCATTTATGCGCCTTGTCCTCCAAGCCCCGCACTTGAGAGTTTCTGTTCTAATAACTAAACGTAAGTATGAAAAATTTAAAAAAAGAAAAGACAAAATTCATGATGTTAATACCTGCAATAAAGCTCCGAGTCCCTCCGGCCAAAACGAGTCGGCTCTGTACGGATCCAGGGGATATGAAGCTTCAGGGGCTCTGTCACCGTGCCGATGAATCTAGAAGTAGCAAATTGAGTCAGCAAAAATGAGCCATTCTACAAAACTTACGTCATTTCGACGAATTTAAGATTAATGTAAGTTATATCAAAATGAGAATCTAAAGAGCTCGTCACCTTCCAGGCAAAGTATCACAAGCGCCATGCGACGTTTAAAAATTTCCGCCGCCATTTTATTTTTTTACTGAGAAATTGTTGGTTGAATGTGTTCGAAAATTTCACTAAATTTAATCGGCAGCACAAAGAAAATTCGGTGCAATTTTCGGACAGCTTCGTTGAACAATTTCTCTGTAAAAAAATATAATGGCGGCGGAAATTTTTAAACGTCGCATGGCGCTTGTGATACTTTGCCTGAAAGGTGACGAGCTATCTATCCCACGTCTTATTGTTCTTTTACCACCGAAATGCGACCAGGTAATGTAAAACACGGAATTAGCTTTTGCCTATCTTGTATTTTGAAGGAAAATCTGGCTGCTTTTCAAAAGCATGACTGGACTAAAGTCGGCAAGGAGGCAAAACTACATGAAGAAGGGAAATGAGTTAGTATCAGTTTTACTTGTCAAGGATTCAATGTCGAAGAAATTTCTTTGGGCTGAGATAGGATTGCGCGAATGCCCTCACGGGAAAAAAAAACACATTGGATCTAGAGTCCAGACTCTTAAAAACATCGACAAGAAAAAATACTCTTGATTCGATCAGATTTAAGTTTAAATCAAGAACCAAGCCGCTTAATTTGAGCGGATTTCCTTTCGATTTAAGCTTAAATCTGATCGAATTAAGAGTCCTTTTTCTTGTCAATGTTTTCAAGAGTCTGGACTCTAGATCCAATGTGTTTTTTTTCCAGTGCTCTTTTGACATTTTTGGAGTTGGACAGGANACGATGGAGCTCTTGTTCATTCAATATTTCACGACAAAAATAACTTCAGGGATTTTGATCAGTGAGTAGAAAAATACAGAGAGTATAGAGATGCGATCTGCCGGAAGAGCTGTGGCAGGATCGCTATCAGTGCCGGTTGGGTGTCACAGAGCACGCAGAAGTGCTATAAAAGTGACTCGTTAGTATTGATAGTAGAACAATTCATGATAAAATGGGTACATATTCAAGGCTAAAATAATATATATTAAACAATATTGGACATTTTTGGAAACGGTACCGAACCCTCCATCAAGACACTATAAATAATGTAATAAAACCAACCAAAGTCAAAAATCGGATCCCACGTTTACAATAAAAGACGATCAGATGAGTTATACCTTATGTACCTTGGCTTATACGGATTGCATTTTGCAAAAAGGAACCAAAAACATTCCAGTATGTCGCTAAGATTGTGCAACTTTCTTCACCCTGCAAATATAAACCGATCATCGATACAAATTTTATATTTACTTTCGATAGACTATGAATTCAAGACGAAAATCATCCATGTAAATTTGATTTGTTTCATTATTTTAGTAATTTTATTGCAAAGCATGTATGTTGCACAATCCCAGTAACATTGGAATGCTCTTAGTTCCTTTTTGCAAAATGCAGTCCATATGGTTTGGTTCTTCTCCGAAACGCGGTCCACGTGTCTATTACACTGAGATAAATGGACGAATAAACTCACGATAACTTACATCGTCGTGTGTCAAAGGAACAGTATGGATGGGGATTGGCTGCCACTTTAAATCTGGATCCCAAAGTTGAGTCCTGAGTGGAGGATAGAGCCCCGCCAAAACAAGGCTTGCGCTCATCAGACATCGATCATGGAAACTGGAGAAGACAAAAATCTCTGCTGGCAAATACTTGGCTGACAGAAATCCGTCGTAGCGTTGCCGTAAAAAGGTACCCAACCTGTGTAATCCAATTTTCCCACTCTGAAAAACAAATCATAAAGCAGTGATCAACAAGACCAATTCTGCCGTTCTAAGGAAAAACGCCGTTCAGGTTTTGCCGTAACTCCTTCAATAAAAAACGAATTTACTGAGAAAATTCTGAGTATTTTTCTTCCAATTTTTCAGAGATTTTTGCTCACAACTAAATCTGAAATATCTGGATTTATTTCAAAGAAAAATATGCATAACTCTCTTCAAAAATACATGTTTTCTCCGGGAGAGGCAACTGTCGAATGTTCATATGGCGTTCTTCATTAGCACAGCAGAATTGTACCCGTATTCCACAAGTTTTTCTAAATTACACATAATATGAATAAAAAAGGCACTTATATCTATTAGAGACTTCGAAAAGAGAATATGGTCCTTAGTCCTTAGGTATCCTTGATGTTATTTTTTCTTAAATGAATACTCTAGAATATTTTTTTGTTCTGTTTTTATTTGAAAAATCGCAAAATTGGAAAAATAATTTGAGGACTTTCTGTTTGAGGGAAGGTGTAAAATGCATCATGGAATAATTTCCTCAGCAACATTCTCACTCACCAGAAGCCCCCCCCCCCTCCAAAAAATGAACACTCGGTAGCTACAGCGAGCCGATACGTCCGGTCGAAAATTAAGAAAATTGCGTAGAGTTTAGTAAAAAATGCCAGGTTTTCTGCAGGTTTACCTTATCTTGGCAGTCGTAACGATAATTCCAGCTCTAGCTTTCCTGCTTTCTGGGGTGCAAATATTGCTAAAAATGTTTTACCGTGCAGTGAAGATCGCTAATTAAAGCGCACAGATCATACCTTCTCCGCTGTTCTCCTTAAATTTTACTTTCATTTTTTTATTGTTTTCAGGCCAGCACATCATTCTCCCTTTTCTAACTTTCCCAAATGAATTTACTGTAGCGGTAAAAAATTGAACTTGCTCATATTTTATCGCGAAATAAAAGAGCCGTTGTTTAGGTACTCACCACTGCAAGCCAATTATGTACGTGAGAGGGTTATAAGACATTTCGTCAACGATTTTTTGTCCGCGCACCTGTTTTTTCCAGTAATTTTCGGCCACGTGCCAGTTGAGACCCAAAGTTAATTGGCCCACATGTAAATACAAACGACCATTGCTCACGACGTTTTTGGATGAAAATGTATAATGTCTTGAAAGAATGAGGATTTGCTTGTTTTTTTTTGTTTGGTCTGTTTGGTCTAACGGAGAATAATATGTAGTTGAGAGTTTTGGTAAAAATGGGAGAGCGTCAATTCCATGAGACAAAATTCACTAAAACTCTCTACACCTCTTTGTGTAACAGGACTTAATTATCTTTCAAGAAATTCCCACCTTGTTATACCTGAACCGGATAAACCTCTATATTTGCCTCAGCTAAAGGCTCTTAGATTTTTCCTGTGTACGATAAATATTTTGATTTATTTTGCGAGGAAAGATGTGTACTTTTAAAGGATGCCTGTCATTCTTAACACGTTCAATTTCGTACGATACTGTGCAACACCTCTGTTGTGAAATAGTTGCTTCAGGCGCCGCGCCGCCGCACGGCGGGCGGGCGGCCAGCACGAAACGCGCATTGGCGCCTACAAACCTAAGTGGATACTTCAAGCATTGTGCAATGCGTGAAGTATCCATTTAGGTTTGTAGGCACTAGAGAGCCTCTCGCGCAGGCAGCACGCCGCGCCGCTCCGCTTTGTTAGGCTTTAATACCTATTTATACTCACATAGTCAGCGTTTTTTAACTTATGATTTTGAAATGTTTACGCACTCTGTATTGCTTATTCTTATTTAAATTGATGGGAAAAAAATATGTATCAATTTATCAAAGGAGAATAATAATATAATGTATGCTTTTTAAATATTGGTGGTTCCGTGTCAAATTTAATGATTTCCAAAGCACTTTAATTTTTTCTTTTACATATTGTGCTTTTATTGTGATATGCAGCGAGGTGCACGCGCAATCAAATTCTCAAAATTTGACGTATTTGACTCTAAAAGATCGATGTACAAATGGGTTAAAACTAAAGATTGCGTGTTTCTTGGTTTTTTCCCCTCTTTTATTCATGTTTCAGTTTCTGTTGGCACAACTGCGGCTCATTGAGATTAATGTCGCTTGGAAAAGGTTTTACAAATATTTGTCACGTTTTAAAAATATAAATGTTTTCAAAATGAAGTAATAATTTCGTAAAAAAAAAAGTACCTATACATATATAAGGTATATTGTACACCAAATATTTCAAGGATTGAAATAGAACCAAATATTCACCAATGACAATTTAAAAAGATGATTCAAAAGGAAAGTAATAATATTCATTCAGAAAATGAGCAAGCATAACAACACCTCTTTCTCTCTCAATTTCTCATTTCCATATTGTCAATATAATTTTACATACCGACTAAAATATAACGCTTGGACCAAGTCACTGTTGCTTACTTTACGTGTGGGCGTAAACTGCTGGACAAAAAAGGTGCGCGGACAAAAAATCGTTGACAAAATGTCCTGAAACCCGTGAGAGCTATGACGAAGAGTGAAATCCTCGTAGAAAAATAAATTAAAGGGGAACGATTTGAATGATGGTTTTGATACTGGAAAAAATACAATTTTTAATTAAGATTCGAGGAAAGGTAGACTTAAGGGGTTTGGAGGACGAGGCGCACAAGTGCAGTTTTTGCTACTTCGGGAAATACGAGTTTGAAGTTTCGAAATCATGTGGATCCATCTGGTGGGAAGAAAGTCCGAACTGACTTTTTGATGCTTAAAAATTGGAATTTGGGAGCCAATTTTTCACAAAATATGCGTTAAGATTAGTTTTACTTGAAGTATATTAATATCTCAATCTTTTCAAAAACTGCATTTCGTCACCTTCCAGGCAAAGTATCACAAGCGCCATGCGACGTTTAAAAATTTCCGCCGCCATTTTATTTTTTTACAAAGAAATTGTTCAACGAAGCTGTCCGAAAATTTCACTGAATTTTCTTTGTGCTGCCGAAAAAATTTAGTGAAATTTCCAAACAGATTCAACCAACTATTTCTCAGTAAAAAAATAAAATGGCGGCGGAAATTTTTAAACGTCGCATGGCGCTTGTGATACTTTGCCTGGAAGGTGACTTGTCCTCCAAGCCCCTCACTTGAGAGTTTCTGTTCTAATAACTAAACGTAAGTATGAAAAATTTAAAAAAAGAAAAGACAAAATTCATGATGTTAATACCTGCAATAAAGCTCCGAGTCCCTCCGGCCAAAACGAGTCGGCTCTGTACGGATCCAGGGGATATGAAGCCTCGGGGGCTCTGTCTCCGTGCCGATGAATCTAGAAGTAGCAAATTGAGTCAGCAAAAATGAGCCATTCTACAAAACTTACGTCATTTCGACGAATTTAAGATAAATGTAAGTTATATCAAAATGAGAATCTAAAGAGCTATCTAGCCCACGTCTTATTGTTCGTTTACCACCGAAATGCAACTAGGTAATGTAAAAAACGGAATTAGCTTTTGCCTATCTTGTATTTTGAAGGAAAATCTGGCTGCTTTTCAAAAGCATAACTGGACTAAAGTCGGCAAGGAGGCAAAACTACATGAAGAAACGAAATGAGTTAGTATCAGTTTTACTTGTCAAGGATTCAATGTCGAAGAAATTTCTTTGGGCTGAGATAGGATTGCGCGAATGCCCTCACTGGAAAAAAAAAAAAAAACACATTGGATCTTGAGTCCAGACTCTTAAAAACATCGACAAGAAAAAACACTCTTGATTCAATCAGATTTAAGTTTAAATCAAGAACCAAGCCTCTTAATTTGAGCGGATTTCCTTCCGATTTAAGCTCAAATCTGATCGAATTAAGAGTCCTTTTTCTTGTCAATGTTTTCAAGAGTCTGGACTCTAGATCCAATGTGTTTTTTTTCCAGTGCTCTTTTGACATTTTTGGAGTTGGACAGGATTGTGCTAATTTTGCTGGCACTGAAAACTCACGTGTTTGCGCGAATACCCGATATTGAACGAGAAAGCGCCAATCTGGCAACCTTGATAGTTTGTGGTAGATAACTACATCGCGAGGGACTGTTCATTTCCTCCTCATTTACGGGCACGTCTCTCCTGGATGGATAGCCCTCGCAGCACGAATGGCCTAGCTTTCGCGAACATTTACAAAGTAAACCAGGGGCCTGTGGCAGTAGTGTGGCGTGAATTGCGATATATCGATTGTTATGCCATTTAAACCTATGGTAAATAATCGATTATTAAGGTGTTCGCTGCGAACACCCTGTTTATCGATCCTTTTCTATAGGTTTAAATGGCATAACAATCGATATATCGCAATTCACGCCACGCCACTGGGCCTGTGGCCGCTACGCGGGGGCCAACCACTGAAAAAAACTACACGTAAAAAATCGTAGAACAACCATGTTCAAGTTTTATAAGAGATGAGTGGATTCAAACCCGATGCGTGCACCCGAAAGAAAACGTATATTTATCTCTGATTGCAGCGTTATGCACCACTTTTATGATTTATTTTTAATAATTTCTTTTAAAAAAGCTATACACACAGTTTTTCTGAAAAGTTTCCGCAAACTTACCGAAATGATCTCAAATAAAAGTATCAAAAATTGCGACGCGATATTTTCATCCGTTCTCTCCGTTTTCTTTTAATGTAACCAAAAAAATTAAATATCATCCGAATTTCTGAATCGTTCTACTGGGGCTACATATTTCCCCTTTCATTATAGTAGAAATTGGAGCAGAAAGTCAAGAATGAACCCACGAAGTCCCACAGCAGTCCTACAGTCTTGTAGGCGCTAGTACGCTTTTCAAGCCAACTGACCGACTGCACTGCGTTTGGCGCAATGCGAGAAGTATTCATGCGGTCTTGTAGGCGCTAATATGGGCTCCACGCTGACCTTCCCGTGTGGCGCAATGCGTGAAGTATTCCAACGGTCTCGCAGGCGCTAATATACTTTTAACGCTGGCCGCCCTGTATTGGCGCGATTGTTCGAACTCGATTTAAAATAATATAGCTTAAAAGGCCAATTTTGTGTTACGACGCATTCCAAGTGAGCATTCCAACGTTGCCTCGTTTCTCCCGATTAACTATTTTTTCGAGAAAAGTTCGGAAAGTTCTTTATACCCACGATCATTATTCAAATCTTTTCGCTTCATTTATCATCAGAAAGGTAAGACGTCGATGACTTGTCAACACACTAACCTAAACTAGCATTAACATAAAAATGCATTTATTTTCGAACTTTTTCCTGTTTTGCCAAACTTCTACCTCAAATTAACTTCATTTTGAATTGGCGCATTTCTGTAACAGATGTTCAGGTTTCTATTCGCGCAATCCTTGTGCCTTTTTCGCGCCTTAAATATTTTCTTAGGCCTTTCACGCGATTCTGGATTACCAATTTTTTCAATGCGGGTGTAAGAGTAAAAGTCGAGTCTTTTTAAATTAAAGGCCGCTTTGTCAAAGTGTCAGGGACTCGGTCCAGCCGTGAGAACTTCAAGAAAAATATTTTTCATGATGAATATTGCTAAACGCATCTAATAATGGGAACGGGTTATACCTTAATTTTGACCATGTTTAGCAGGAAGGAACCAAGCCACATCAGCTATTGCCAAATTTAACCGGGGAAATTTCATTTTTATAAGAGAACTTTTGTGCGGATTCCTTTAAAAATGTGGAGGAATTTGTTCCATACTATGCAGAAAATTCACTGAAATTTGCATAAAAATCCGCACATCCGTTTTCATGTAAAAAATTAAAATGGTCAATTAAAAGCAATAGCTTATGTGGTTTGGTTTCTTTCTGCTTACCTACCGCAGTCCAACTAAAAGAAAAAGTTTAATATTTGTAAAAGAAAAAGAAAGAAAACATATTTTTTGGGAAAATATATTTTGTGAGCCTTACATTTTCGGACGGCCCTACTAAGCGGAACATGTTTCAGAAAAAAAATTGATTTGCGCGTGGGTGCGTTTTAGAGAACACGCGGGAAGGGGGCAGGATCTCTTCAAGATCGTGAAAACTGACTTTAGATCTTACTTAATTTTTTACTACCGACAGCCAAAGAAACTTATATGAATAATTGATCAGAATCATACTCACTATGCTGACGAACCGCAGGGTTGGTTCAGCGGAAGATCCACCTCTAAAAATACAGAATCGAACACCGGCAGTAACAACAGAGATCACAATAATTATCACCAGAAACCAGCTCCATATTTTCGGTTTATATTGCATGATGTTGGCCTTATTGCAAATAGATTCACGGCAATAGATCGCACAATACGTAGCGCGCCAGTAATGGTTGACGTTGCCAGTTGTAGATGACGTTTCTGATACCTATAATTAAATTTTCTTGCTCTGTTTTGCTTCACTTTCTTTAACGATACGAAACTTTTTGCATGACTTAGAATTGTAAAAAAAACTGTAACTACATGTTATATTAAAATAGTCAGTCATTTTAAAGAATTATCAGACGGTATCACTGTTGCATTATAAATACTCCCATGAGAGGAAAATTACGTTTTTAGCAGGGGGCTAAGAATTGATAAGCATGATTAATGTTCACAAAAACTTTGAAACATCCGTTTGTATAAGTGTTATCTGTTCTGTTCTGTTTTTTTTTTTTTTTCTCTCTTTTTTTTCTTTTTTTTATCTTTTCAGTTTGAATTAGAGAGATGGAAGGAAAATTGCTTATTAACCTCACATTTTTGTGAATATAATGCTCGGACAGTCTCGAGTGTTGAAATGGTACCTACTGAAAATATAAAGCCTTCAATTCTACATGCCTGAGAAGTGATAACCAGAGTTCAAACGGACATGGAGAGTGAATCCTTTGAGTATGGCTGTCAAATTATAATGTATAAAAACACTAGTTTCACAATCACTTTTGAAAATAATTTTGTGGTAATGGTGCTTTACACGATCTTGCAACTCGATTTGCTGAAAAGCATAAAGAGGGGATTTTAAAAAGAACGATAGGTAAACAAGTGATCAAACACACGTGCACATTATAATTGATAAAATGTGATCTATGGTTATAAATATGCGCTCATTTTAGTGATAACATGAGGCATACTTGTGCTGAAGTATTAAGACGAATGGGGAAAAGTGAGACTGGTGTGCACTTAAAATGACGTACACTAAATTTGTTATCAATTGCTACCACTGAAAGAGCTTGATGCAAAAACGGCTTTTTTCGCCCCCCCTCTGGAATTTCTTCAGACTTTGTTTATTGATTACTCATACTTGAGCGCTTCTTTTCCCAAATTTTCAGACCCCCAAAAAATTTTGGGGGGGAGCTAGGGGGGGTGGAAGTCAAAACCTGTGAACCTCGATATCTCTCGAACGAAGCAAGATATCGAGGTCCGGTTTGGACGAAAAATCGTCTAAAATTGCATACTTTAAGATTCTAAAGGTCGAAATCCCGATATCGCATTTTTAAGTCAACATATGTGCTTTTTTCCAGTTTTTAGGTCTAGATAATTTCTTTTAAACGAAAAATTTACAAAGATCTCAGTTTTTTATTTGAACCAAAACCAATTTTTTAAATTGTTCGTCTTTTTTCGCATCCAACGAGTGGTCCATTAAGCTGGGAAACCAAACGGTTCCGGAGTTATGATCGATTGAAGTTTCCACTCAACGCGCGCCGACCGATTTTCGCGCGCAAAAAAGTCGGAATTGACTGTTATTAAATCAGATTGATAGTTCAAACTGAGCAAAATGCATTATTAGGGACTCTTGAGGGTCGCTGAGTTCAGAAATTACAGATACTTCCAAAAAATTCACGTTTTTAAAATTACAGCTCTGTAGGGCTATTTTAGAGGCCCACTGAGCGCCGACCGCCTATGGCCTATGGCGCCTATGGCGCTTTTGGCCTATGTGATTTATGCTTTATGCACTTGCTTTGAAAAGCTGCGGTCAAAGTTTATTAATAAAAAATGTAAGTTTTTTTTAAAGCAAATGTTACATTATTTCTAGCACGTGGCTACACTCCAAATCTATACTATAAGCTCCGAGACCTCATAAATTTGCATATCCGGTAACGCTTAGTTTCAGCGTTCTACCGGGCCGATTTTCATGATTTTTGCGGCTATCGACAGGCAATTGTCTCTAAATGAGCCCGCTTTATTCAGATTTTGAAAATATGACCCAGGTTTTTTCAGATTACGTGGTAAATTTGCGAATTCTTTCATTTAAACAAAGTAATTTTTTTTTGTCACATTTCGTTTGAGCGTTCTACAGGGCCAATTTCCATGGTTTTTGCGGTTATCAACAGGTGATAGTCCCTAGATGAGCCCGCTCTAATTAGATTTTTAAAATAAGACCCAGGTTTTTTAAAGTATGAGAGAATACCGGAGAACTGAGGAAGGGGGGCAAAATTTGAAATTCCCGCCATTGAAAAAAGGCCGGCGGGAATCTCAAAGCAGTGAGCAACTTGGCGCGCGGCAGTGTAGGCATGGATGGTGGATGTCGAAAAAATAAGTCGTCTTATGTTTCGCCATCAATCACACCAATCGCAGTTTGTCGTCATCACAGCGCAATCACTCGTGATTCGTTTCGCTGATGACTGATGCCGTCAGAAATGGGCGGAGCATCGTTTGTCAGATTGGGTTAGACCATCGCTATGACGCCATCAGCCGCAGTCACTCGTCATCTGAGTCCGGAGTAGGATGACGGAGCGATTGGTCAAGCGACTGTCCAATCTGTTGTCATAACGAAGTCAAGTTGTCTGTGATTCGATAGTGAAAGCATCGGCGTGACCAGCCAATGACCAGCAGTCGCACTCATATAGCGGTGCTATTGGTGAGCGACCGACAGCGAATCAAAAGACAGCAATGGCGTGGATGGCGGTGGTGGGGGAAGGTGAAGCGCCACAAGCGCAACCTGGTGGAAAGACGACCCAAACACGCTGCGCGGTCATTGATCTCTCGGAACTCGGAAAAGGTCAAAAGGAGATTCTTTTTGACCGTATTGTCTTTTCCTGAATTATCTGGTTTGTTGACCTGTATGAATGCGCTTTCCGCTTGGCCTGCATGGACCGTATTCGATAGTGGTTAGATGTCTCGTTTGGTTCAAAAAATAGAACATAACATCAAACAAAAATTTTAGGATTTAAGTTGCACAAACTGAAGATGAGAAAATATTCCTAACAATTTAACTAAACATTGGCATTTGGTACTCGAAAGAATAAAATATCTATTAGGTACAAAAGATCCGTTCCCTCAGATTTCTAAATTGACTTTTGAGGCTATGTTTACACGTTGAACCAATTGATATCGATACAATCTCACCTGTTTTATGTATCAAATGCAATCTATTCGCCTGGTGCCTCATGGCCCCTTCGATAGGTAAAATAAATGTCTAATGGAAATAATTGAAGCCTTTTTTATTCCTTTTTTTCTTTTTCTTTTTACCTGTTGATAGTCTATCCTGTTAAGTAATCCAACACTGATGTACAATTTTTGTATTTATTGAGGTGCTAGCTGAGTCCTTGTACCAACGTCCACTCATTAGTAGACTCAAGTATGTCACTCTTGAAATGTCATCATGACGTTCCTTAAAATTGTCATAAATGTAAATTGTAATTGTAATTGTGTCATTGTAATTTCCTTAAATTGTCCTTAAATTGTCGTTCAAAATTGTTTAAGATTTCTGATCGACTGCCTGCCACAGTTATGTTGAAACTAAGTGAAAATATGACTTCAGAGAATTTTTCATTGGG